CAACATACACCCAGAGGAGACACACAAAAAGCACTGTGTGCTCCGAGGGTCATGTTCATTATGTTTGGCCCCGACTCCGTGAATTTAACATTTTCCTGTATACGTCAAAAAGCTTGTGTCCCTTCAACATCAACTTCATCCACCTTTTTCTTACTTTCCTTTTACTCCCTCCCTAAGCATCACATCTACATCCACATCCACATCCACACCCCTCCCCTCATACTCTCAGAATTTTACATTTCTCCACGCCTCTAACGTTGCGTGTACTCCTTCTTCCTCCTCCTCGTCTCCTCTACATGCTTTCTTAATCTGGGAGGACAGCAGGATGGATGACAGGGTGTGGACTGTGTGCTTTCTTGTCATTTTGACTCTGGCATGTACGGAGGCTCAGGGTCAGACCAACTTCACCAGGTAAGATGTGTGTGTGTCTATTTGCAGGTGTCATTTTCATTTTTCACATCCTTCACATTTTGTGCACATGTGGCAGTTTACGTCCACATCTGTCCCTTTCTGCTCCCTCCCTGTGGTGATATGATTACGTAAAGTGAAGTAGAAATAGAAGGCTGCAGTGGTTGGCATTTCATAAACACCCACAGCAGGCAGGACTGAAAATGACAGTACACTACTGGAGTGTGCAAACTTGTCTCAAAAGTGGCCAGATTCAATAATGTAAAAATATCCAGGGTCGGCCGCTATGCCTTTCATTCTATAATTAAGGCTATAATTAAGGGGCATATAAATGCACTATATTTAAGAAATGTATTTAGCTCAAAGAAAATGATTTTCTTTATTAGGAATGTGACATGAAGCCACCCAGTTTGTGAGCCATTACTTTGCAAACATTCCAGCTCTTCTGTACCTATGGAAAATATTAGTATAGTGTATATATATATATATATATATATATGTGTATATATATATATATATATATATATACACATATATATACATATATATATATATATAACTTGGTCTAAAAGAGCAGATTACATATTAATATTTGAGTCAACGAAATCAATGAAATCTATAAATAGTTCAACCATCAATAGTAGTTAAAGATTTAAAAAACTTACAACATGTACATGGATATATATATATATATATATATATACATACATATAGGAACAAATGTTCAAGTTCTAAAGTATAAATCTAAACATAAGCATCCTTTATTGTTACTGCAAAAAAGACTTAAAAAAAACAACTCTGGCCAGAAAGATTAGACAAAGTCAAGAAGATAGCTAAAAAGAATCTTAATTTGAAAAATAAAAGAACATTAAATGAGGATAAAAATCCTGTTACAATAAGTAGTTTCCTAAAGACTTAAGTGTGTGTGTGTATATATAAAGGAGGACAAAGATAACAGTAACAACAACACATTCAGACCATTTTTACTGACAAGAAACAAACAAATGCCTGTGGGCTCTTTATTTCCACAGTGTCGTTCAGAAAACACAAGGCGGCTTACATTTTTTGGCCTTTGATACTATAGTGCTACAAATGCAGTAACCACAGCAGACAGAATGCATGCCTGAGGAACTGTAGTGATTTAGGTCACTTCCAAAGTCTGGACAGGTTTCAAAAGAACTTTTGGACTCACAATACCTAATATCTGGACCAATATCAGTAATCAAATCCAATTTTCAAAAAAGAAATTGGCCTATTCTTACTTTGCTTTGGATACAAAATAGATAAACAACTCACATGTAAAACTAAATAACAAAGGTTATATGTATCGTATTGTAGAACAATATCAAGTCAAATACTGCGAATTAAACATAATCAACTAATTTTGTACTTCATCATTAATACTGCAATGGCTTATGAATTTTTTTTTTAATACAAAAATATGCATATTATTACTGCAAAACGTAAAACACATGGATACATCTATTACAGTTGTTAAAACTTTGATATGTGTTAACTTATCAAAATATAAAAAGTTCCATCTAAAACATGCATTTCAAATGTTTGAAATATGTCAATGAAATACAATCTCAGAGCAGATAACATGGCAGCCCACGTCTGAATTAACAAGTATGGGATTTGCAAATTAAAAACCTGGGTCTGAACCTGCTTTGATGTGTGTATATCTGCAGTAAGTGTGAAAGACACACACAGTTTTTGTGTGTTACTGAAAAACCCCATGTGTTAGCAGTTTTTGAAGGTAATACTAGGTCCAAGGACAACTTTCTTGTGGTAACTCACAGCACATATACTGTAAATTAACTGTGCTTCCTTCCTGGTTGGTTTTACATTAAAACACACATATAAACAGGGAGTCTGAACAGGGAACCTCCCAGAACTCTGGGAACAGAGAGAGACTGTGTGCCACTGTGGTTTTGCCAGCATGTATGTAAACCTGTGAGTGCAGGATTCTGCATCAGTACTCTCCAGCAATGGCTCCGAAAGCAAATCAGTGCAAATGTGGCCTTTTTTTGTGGACTTTAAGTGCAAATTTTAACTAAAGACTTGAAATGTTAAACACATACAGATAAAAAAACCCCATCTGAAATCTTCTCTTTCAGGCCAAACTTCCTCTGTGGAGGACATCTGGTCATAGACTCTGGCATTGTGGCCAGCGAAGGTTTCCCTGGTCATTACAAACCCAACACAAAATGTACTTGGTACATCACTGTGAGTAATTCTCTAATTACACAGAATTTAATTGCATTTTTGACAAGGCCAAGATGCAACCCCAAACAATTCCAAAGCATCCCTAACGCTGTTTAAACCTTCCAAACAGTCACTGATGAACTTTACTCCTGTCCTTCTGACAGATTCACAAACATCAGAACATCAATCTTCAAAAACACGGAGTCTTGGGACTCATGTAAACAATATCACACTGTTTTAATTTTACTTGAACTAGAATTCCTTGCTTAGCCTTCACCTATTTTAGCTGAAGGGCACTTGCCTTGTTATCATTCATGTGCAGTCATCTGGCTTGAAGTTATGACTATTGTGGTTCAATATGATAACATTGATAAGAAAGTTGTGTCGAGAACAGAACCCTAGTAATGTCTTGTTTCTTACTGCGTAAACTCAAAAGACAATGTTTTTGAATGATCAAGCAGCCTAAGTTAAAGATTCCAAAACAAATAAAGGTGAGGACATCACCCATAGTAACAGATTACATTATGGTAGTATTTATTACTACAATATTTATTCTACAACACTGTTTTCAAAATAACCAAATAAGTACTTGAATTTGAGCACTTTTTAGTATTTGGTAACAGGAAATTCAGTAGGTGTTACAACAAAGTAGGCTATAGACAGATCATGGGAAACCAGGCTATTTATATACAATATGATAAGAGATTTTATATATGTGTGTGTGTGTGTGTGTGTGTTTGTGTGGAAACATGTCTATGAAGATTCTCAGTCATCCAGGTCATGGTCAAGTTTAAAAGTTCTGTCTTGGATGAGAGGTGAAATGTCTTATTTTAAAAAAATTCACATCCAGTTGCCTAACAGAACTTTCAAACTATATGTGTGTGTGTGTGTGTGTGTGTGTGTGTGTATGTGTGTGTGTGTGTGTGTGTTAAAACACCCCTAAACAGTTTCTTTCCACAACACTGCAACAAAAGCTGCTGTTTTACAGACAGTGAAATTGTGCAAGATTTAGCAAGTAATGTATAATGTTTTGTGCATTTGGTGCATGTTTCATTAGATGGTGTAATAGATTACTCTTATTTTTAACCAAATTAATGTGTAATGAAATATAGTTTTTACTGTACTGTCCCAACACTGGGAAGAAAGAAAAAGAAAAAAAAAAACAGATGACTGTGCCAAAAATGTAGTACTGCATTTTTCAAGAAAGAAAACAAATGACGGCAGAGAAAAACAGGAAGTCAACAAACTCTCTCTCACTATTCTACTCTTACTACTGAAACATACCATCTACTTTAGTAACCACAGGATGGTTGGTGCCAGGTCAGAAGAGAGTCACTTTGGTAACAAATTAAGACTAATACTCAATCACATACTTCAGCACATTTATAAATATGAATAAATACAATAAAACATTTTATTCATGAGGGGCCTTTGATACTATCCAGGCTTGCAATGCTGTATAATGTTGCAAAACTCATTTACTTCATTTTCTCAAAAGCCATTCCCTGTGATTACTACAGGTCCCCGAGGGTCACGTGGTCATGCTCTCCTTCCGCCTCTTTGACATGGAGGCTGACCCTACCTGTCGCTATGACTACCTGGACATCTACAATGGTCACACACGATTAGTGCAGAAGTTAGGACGCTTCTGTGGGACATTTAGGCCTGGGGCCCTCATTACCACCTCCAACACTATGATGCTGGACATGGTGTCTGATGAGGCCACTGGAGGACGAGGGTTTTTGGCCTACTTTACTGCAGGGAAGCCTCATGTTGAAGGTGTGACATTCAGGTCTTGACCAAATGTTAACCACTTCTCTTCCTATAATTTCCTCAACCCATTACACTGAAAAACATATTGTTTTAGTCTCTTTGACTTTTTATCTTAACAGAGAACCAGTTCTGCGGAGGACGTTTGACCAAAGAACAAGGTTCTGTCAAGACTCCCAACTGGCCCAACTCAAATTACCCAGCAGGCATCAGCTGTTCCTGGCACATCACCGTAGAGCCCAGTAATGTAAGAGGACCATGACTAACTTTGTATTTTATGGCATGTACAAATCAAGTACACAATCAGGTATACAGGTATATGGTTAATTCATCAACACAACTAGACCTATTTCTGACACGAAACACCAGAGAATCCAGCAGGTACAAAATTTTTAGAGTTTTAAGTTTAGGAAGTTTTTTATTTTATGTGTACTGCAGCCAGTTGTGTTATATAAGAAATGCTGGTGGAGGAGGAGGAGGAGGAGGATTTGTGCTAGTGCAAGTGAAGGGGCCCATCATGAGGAGGTGTGTATGTATGTGTGCAAGACACTGTACTTCTGACCACCTTCAAAATGAAAGAGTTCATTGAAAAACTTGGTGGAGTGTGCCCAGAAATTGAAAGGACGTAAAGAGGTGGTCACAGTTAAGCTAGTGAGTAAATGCCCCTCTGTGTTTGTGGGCTTGGACCTTCACATTCTCCTCTCCATCTGCTTTTGCATTAGCCTGACGCCACTCCCCAGCTCACATCCTTTAATATTTGTCATGAATTTGGAGTTTGTTATTATCAGCTTTTTATTATCAAACTTTTCTGCAGGTGATCGAGGTAAAGTTTGAGAAACTGGATCTGGAGCCAGACACTTACTGCCGCTATGATTATGTAGCACTGTTTAATGGAGGAGAGAAAGACAATTCAAGAAGAATCGGAAAGTTCTGTGGAGACAGGGTTCCAGGGTGAGAGAACTGACTTCAATAGAACACACAACCATAAACATTTCTTGACCATGTAGAACTTGCCATTCAGAAAAATATTAAGAATTACAAGATGGCCATCAATGGGCCAATTGGTCCTGGAATAGCAAAATGTTATTTCAAACAAAAAGTTAGCTCAGAACACCTCACGAACAACTTGTTATATTACTTTAGAAAAAGTAAAATGTAAAAAGTAACAGCAACAACTAATGACGATGAACCCACAAGATTTAGTCAATTAAAAAAAAAATAGTAAAATTAGCCCTCCCAATAACTGAAAACATTGCCAAGATGCGTATGAAGTGAAAAGATCTCTGATTACCATATTATAATTTTATTCATCATAATTTAGGCCAAATATAGTAAAATTGGAAAAAATAACCCAGATTTACCAAAATGTCTCATTTCTAGCTCTTTTGTGTCTCTTTACCAACTCTCTTCTTTACTGTTCACAGCACTGTAGTGACAAATGGCAATGAACTTCTGGTTCAGTTTGTCTCTGACCTCAGTGTGACCTCAGATGGCTTCATGGCCCATTATAACAGTGTTCCTCGAGGCTCTAGAAGACCCACAGCTGGTGGAGACTTCATATATGGTCCTCAAACCACCACCGCAATGCCACAGAAGAAACTTGTGAAACCAGTCAAAACAACCAAACCAACCCCAACCCTAAAGCCCAAACCAAACGTTCAGCCTAAGCCTACCAAAAAAACAACAGTGAAGAAGTTTCCACCACCACCTCGTAAATCGACCACTAAAGCTGTGGTCAAACCAACACCTAAACCCAAACCATCAAAACCCACACCTAAGGCTCCTGTGAAGAAGCCTACACCTAAACCTGCAACTAAACCAACACCAAAACACACGACCAAACCCACACCAAAACCCACAACCAAACCCACACCCAAATCTAGGGTTGTCAAACCTATTATCAAGCCTAAACCAACACGTAAGCCTATACTGAAGAACAAACCTACCATAAAACCTGCCGTCAAACCTGTGAAGCCAACAGTCAAGAGTGGAGTTAAACCAACAGCCAAACCTAAAGCAACACCTAAACCTAAACCAGGACCAAGCAAAACAGTGACAAAGAAGCCTGCTGTGAGTAAGAAACGTAAGTGGAGCCTCATCCATGTTCATACCAGAAGCTAGCTGCTAATTGATGTTCTGATGTATTTTTGTTGTTGCTATTGTCTTTCCTGCAGCTTTACCAATGAACCCAGTGTGTACACAGCCCTGTAAGAGGACAGGGACTCTCCAGTCCAGCTTCTGCCCTAATGACTTTGGTAAGTATCTGTGATCACAGCTTTGTTAATGATTTAATTCATAGAGTAAATATTATATAACCTAAGCTAGCATTAACTGGGACAATACAGGCCTATATAAGTTCTCCCGAGCATTTTCATTTTCTTACATGTTCAATAATTCACAAATTAAATTTTTTATACATTGTTGGACTCCAAAAATGCAGAAGGGTGTCAGTTGTGGGGTAATAGACACAGTTCCTGGGTGGAAACATACCCAACACAAACAGAACTATTTGCACAAGTACAATTTTTGCAGTAACTTTGTCATTTACTATAAACTTTTCCTTCATTTGTTTGTTTGTTTTAGTAATCACAGGTAAAATCACATCTGTGACAGTTGGGCCAAGAGGCTCAGCAACAGTGGTGGTTTCCCTCATTAAGGCCTATAAACCTGGACGCCTCAACATCAAAAGATCAGGTCCTGTGATGTCAGTGGCTCTGACCTCTAGCTGTAAGAGATGTCCAGGCCTAAACAGAGGTAGAGACACTCAAACCTCAAATCTAACATGAAATTCTTCAAACTATCTCTAACTTGTGAAAAAAAAGATTTATGAAACTCTGTGACACAGATTTCTTCATACTCTGTCTCCATCTACAGGTCAGAACTACGTGATGATGGGAAAAGTTGACGCACAAGGCAACGGTCAGCTCAGCCCGTCCAGCTTCACTCTGCTCTACAAGCCCATCCATGCCAAAGCCCTTACCCTCCTTTCCAAAAAATCATGCTGACATCACAGTTAAACCAACCAATCATGCCATGCCCTGAAGAGCCTCAACGCTATAAAAACATACATAACTTATCATAAAAACGGAATATATTCGTAAAACACATTTCTTATATTAAAAAGAAACTATAACTGTTTTATGCATTTTGTAAGAATTAAACATCAAATTTTTTTATGTTTTTTATTTTGTATGTAAGTTATAATATTTGTGTTAAAAATGCACATTAATAAACAAAGTGATGCTAATGTGTTTTGGGTGTTTTCACATATTTACCATCACAATCTCTAAGTCATTGAAAGTTCAAATCCTATGAGAAATATTTTATGCCATAATCAACCACCTAAAATCAATTTTGATGTGTTTTAGAGAGGTTGATGCACTCCACCTGGTAAGATGACCTGCTGTAAAATCTAGCAATGCACTAACACAAAATCGTCAGTTTATACAGTATATACACTTCCTGATAATTTTTTGCATTTATTCAACTGAACTCAACCTGTGACCTTTTCAAATATGTTTTGCAGTGGCATTTAAAAAGTGTTAAAACTCTCTTACCACTGATGTAGTCTCAAAATCAGGGAAGCAAAAACTCCAGATTCACTCCAGACGCAGGATAACAGCGGCTACAGGATGATGCCTCCTGGTTGATAGAAAGTACCATTAGTTGTTTACTGAGAAAAATGTTGTACAATTTCATATCAGAAAAACCGAGATATCAAAGACAGGCGCTAATAATTAAATATGAGAGGAAATTCTTTCGAAAAGACTGTACTGGGACACATTTTGACAAAAAAACATCCATGAAACAATTGACAATACACTAAGGGGCAATTTAACATGTGTATAAACGACATCCATGAAACAACTGACAATACACTAAGTTAGGGGCAATTTAACATGTGTATAAACGACTATTGACTATTTTTTATGATACATTGCTTTAAACAACTTGGGTCCGACGAAAAATCAGGATTTAAACGCTACGTGAAATACGACACTTTATATACAAACCACACACAATTTAAATTACACCACTATGTGCTTTTGTCGCAAAAAAACTGCGTCATTTCATTTAAGGAGGCTGCTCTCCTGCATACAGACATAGCAAGACAAGTAGTAGAAAAAAAAAGTTAATTTCAATGATTTGATTTCAAAAAGTTGTGTTTTCATTCAATTTAAATTTAATAAACTCTGAATACAATAGTAGCTAACCTGAAAGGAAGACGAAACTAAAACGAGCCGTTGGAAGACCAGCCACAGGTGAGACTCATTAAGGGACAACAAATGTTTAAAAAGGAAATGACATAGGGGAAATTAAGGCGCTCCTGCTATATTACGCCTCAATAAAACCGGAAGTTACACAATGTTTGCGAAACTTTTGTGAAAAATGCTGGAATAAAACAAGTTTTAGCATACGCAATAATAGCTTATAGGCGAACTGATTAAAAGTTAAGTAAGCATACAACAACAAAAATATGTAAAACTCTACTACAACATTAAACTGACATCATCTTTATTCTGATCTGTTACAAAATAAATGAAATATTTCGAATATCTCGCTTCATTGTTATAAATAATCAAAATATATATTTTGGCCAAAATATCCGTGTTAGACATAAAGATAGCTTAGATATGGCAAAAAGAAATATGTAAGTCCCTAAATAATTAAATAGATAGTCAAAATAATGGTAATAGTAGAAACTAGTAATCAAAGCTAAAAGTGATGATTATCTGTTTATTATTCCATCTTTCTATTAAACAAAAACGTATGCCTAACAGCAGTCCATGAACAACCAAACTTTAAATAATCAAAAGCACTGAAAGACATTTTTAACGGTAGTAAAATAAAAGGCTACGGTTACGTTAATGAATGTGAAAAAACATTTGAGGCAATGGTCACACAAACGATGACTCGTCGGTGTATACTTATAAGTAGGACATCTAGTGGTTAGTAAATGTCATTGCACAGCTATAAATGACAGCAGTCGTGTTTGCTTTTTTTACAAAACAGGACAAATTACATACAATTGTAAAACAAGTTTTTAAAAAACATAAAAAGATACTAAATATGTTTTAAAGGGAAACTACTGTTGTTGTATAAATATATTATGTATAAAACCTTATGAGATATTCAGTACACCACTACTTCATCACTATGTGATGAAGACAAGTTTAAATATATGCGTAAAGTTATATTAATCTAGCATTACGCTTACACTTACACATTACACTTCTGTCAGAAAAAATATAATTAGGAAAGGTTTTCTGTCTATAAGAGCAGCTGCAGTTGTGACTCATCAGTTCTTGTCTGGAAAATAAAGTTGGTCCATACAGTAATGCACAAGGAAGACACTTACTTTTACATAAACAATAAAACATGGCCACCAACCTTACAAATAAAAAGGTCACCACTGTGTCTGGCACAAAGCCTGCTGGTTGATTTGGAAAAAAGTTAACTCTTAATTATGTCAAAAACAATTGTAGATGTATATACTGTATGTATACACACACAAACACACAGATATGCTTCACCAAATAAAAGAAAACTACTTTTAAATATGTTGTTTTAATCATAACCAAATGTTGTATTATGTACACAGAGAAGGGACCTCACATCACCTCTCATTGTTACAGTATGATACGCTATTAGATTATATAGAAATTTATTCATAATCAATGGTAAAATCAAAACAGTCTTTACAGAAACAGATTTATCAAATGTAGCTGACAAAATAAGTTTCCACAGCACCAAGATAAAGTAAAATGATTCGGAAGTGGTATGTTTCTACCCTCCTTATCTTCAGTGTTATAAAAAAAGTGAGAAGGTGCAGCGCTTATCAGAAACCAAAGTCAGGGGCAATTAACTACCTCCAGCTACAGAGTGAGTCAGTTAGCACTCCTGTTTTATCATCACACGGTGGTCTCTAATCGTCAGGGTCAGCTCGGCCACACAGGTAAAAGCAGCACATGACACAGCAGCCAATGAAGAGGACGAGACAGAGGATGATGTAAAACAACGTGGTGGTCCAGAAGGCAAACAGGTAGACTGTTTTGTTACAGTAAGGGTCCACGTCGGTGGTGTTTTTATTGTAGTTTGGCTGGTAAATGGAGTAGATCCACACGTTACCTGGAGCAATGAAAAAAAGACGAGTGTTGGATAAATAACAACTAAAAGAAGCAAGAAGATAGCATTATGATACATACTGCAAGTATATAAAGCTAAAGGGACTATAATGCAGGCAAGAACAGCTAAAATGTAGCACGTAATACAATTAGCTAGAAGTAGTGAAGGCATATATTGTGTGGACAAGCAAGTTATTTACAATCAGATTTACCAAATGATAAAAGGTTTGCTTAGCGTTTACCTGTAAATAAAGAAAAAACAGCCAGACAACCATGAAAACCCACCAAAAGCAGGACAATAGTGCAGCAGCCAGCTGACTAATTCTGTCATTATGCCGGAATAACGGGGCTTTATAAATTCAGGTAAAACAAAAATGACACAATGATGTTAACAAGTTAGCTAGATTGGCTAATAACTATCCAAAATATAACAAATGAAAAAAGATGAAATTATTATGTTAATGTCAGCTTTGCAAAAAAGAAATACATTTTCTACATTACATTTATGTCTATACTTTTTATGTATAAACTGAGTTATATTTTAGTTAATAAAAGATAACGATTGGCCAAAAAGGAAATAAAACTTACTGCAGAAAATGAACAAAAACGAAAGTAAAACAGAATGTATTTAGACTTACACAATGTTCGAAACTTAAAATGAAATATTATGAAAGTGTATGCTACAGTGTAGCATACACTTAGCATATAGCATAAAAATACAAAAAAGGTTAATAAACTAAGAACTAGCCAAAAAATAATTAGCTCACCAGCAATGAACCAGCAGAATAGGAAGAAGGAGGTGAGGGAGTTCCAGGCCACGCATGCTCGATTCAGTGGGTTTGTGGCTCCATCTGTGGGCTGCTGAGCGCAGGGCAGACAGGAGAGCAGCGACAACATCAGGCCAAACGCACCCACCACTATCAGATAGATGGGGATGTAATTCTCCCGAGGGCATTCGTGCAGATACACAGCACCTGGAGAGAGACACCGTGATTTTCAAAGTCAGAGAAAATGTTGTATTGAACATTACAAAGGAGAATCAGGTTAAACATCTGAGAAACATGACACGTTTGAATCACTCACCAATTGAAATCTGTGCAATTGGCATGACACACATGAACAATTTAGAGCATCCTAAAAATGAATGAAATAAAAATACATTTAACTCACATTTACAAGCCTTTTCATTCTGAAGAAAATCAGCATGACAATTAACGGTGGGGGGGGGGGGGGGGGGGGGGTAATCTTACCTAATACATGTCCTGGAGGTTGGGGGCGACTGCGGATGTTTTCCACTAATAGGGACATTTTGTGCGTAATTATAGAAAGTCTGCAAGATAAGACAAAACAATTGAGAAAAGTCTGCCGCTGACTGTACGTTTTACTATAAAAGCTACCTTTTCAGTAGCAACAATATTTACACCTGTACATATTGTATGTTTCTTAAAAAAACAAAACAGTTATTGGGCAGCAAAAACAATCAACATTCAGTAGCACAATAACTTGAAAGTACAAGTACGGTCGGTCGTCATCACGTTGCTTTCACTATTTGCATCGGAGCATTACGGTGTGTGTGAACCTCTGCAGCTGCCAAGAGGTTCGACAGCATTCCCCCGTTCAGAGCCAGTCGGACCAACAGAACAGGAATAACGACAACAACAAGTGACAACCTGCACTCGTCCAAATTGCAGGTGAACATAAACATGAGGGGCACGTTTAACAGATTCACACACGACAAGCAATCTCTACCATTTTTAAAGTGACACACAAACTCAGCGGTCATTTTAAAAACGAAACTTTATTATTAAACCATGCGAAACAGGTTTCACGGAAATGAACTATAAATACTGTGGGAATGAGCAAGCTGACTTGGTCAGAAAAGCTAAGCAATGCGAAACTAACTTCCAACTAACTTCCACTTTCCCATAAAGCGTTTCTGTCTAGTGGCGTCTGCTAAAATGTACACAGTGGCCCTGAATCTTCTATTACTATTATAAACTACGCGTGTTATCCTTGTAAAACTTACCTAATCTGGTATTGTTTTGTTGTTGATGCTCCAGATGTTTCGGCGGCTCCTGCTGACAGCTAACACAGTCAGACAACCACGCCCAGGGCCGTGCGTAAAGTCTTAGCCGTTCGACGGTGTGCACGCCCACTGAGAGTAGGTGTTAAAGGAGGCGCGGTTAAAACTTGACAAACCAGTGCCAAAAATGTAACAAAATCTTACAGGCATAATAATAATAATTATTATAATAAATACTGCATATATATTGATAATTCTGTAAAAAAAAAATCTAGAAAAAATGTTCTGTTTGAATCCTGTTTGAAGAACAGCAGCATTCATTTTAAATGAACTTTTTAATTGTCATATGTAATATATAATCTTATGCATCTAATTAAAATATTAAATTAAGAATATATTTAAATCAACAAAACAAGTAGTAAACGTAAAGTACATGTGTTACAATGTTTAGTAGCAACAGGTGAGAAAAGTGGCCTTTGTAGTAAAAAGCAGCTCAGGGATAGCATTCAAGAGTACCTTCTTATTCTGACATGACCTGTTTTGGATCCAGAGCAAACATTAGCAGTCTCCATCTTCTGATAGACAAATACTATACAGTCTATGGACAGATAACAGTTGAACATGTCCTCACTTTTTTATCTTGCACTGCCGATTTTGCATTTTATTGCGTGGACTTAGCTCGGACCCAACACAGTAGCCAGGTCGAACTATTGAAAGGTTTCCCTGAGCTGTTGAATAAAAAGTCAGACATCACATGGTACTGACCTGCAATATCTAAAATATACAGTAAAGTTGCATAATTGCATAATGTGACTTTAAAGGTCAGAGCTGTTTACAAAAAAAAGTTTGTACTGAGTTTTCTAAAAACTGTTTGCTGACAGTGAGATTATCACAACAAATCCTATCTACACTTTCTTTATTCTTTAATCAACTGATCGACTGATTGGTTTGTTTAATCTGATTGGAGTCTTTCTAAACATTTTGGAACTTCAGATGACAGCAAAAGTGAGGAAAGAATATAAAAGCATAAACTTTCCATCAGAGGACAGAAGGACAACCCGACGTCCCACACCGTGGGCCACATTATAGCAAAGACTTTGTGAGTCCTTGTGAACACTATTTTGTCCCAAAGAGGTTTGTCTGAGATCCAGAACAATTGTAGAACTAGAAAGAAGTCAATGCTAGCAGAGATGCAGCTCCTACTGCTTAAGGTGGAAGTGCGCCACAAACGGCAAGAGTTGAACATTTGGCTGAGGTGTGGTTTCCATCTGCTGTCTAAAATGTGGGCCATATTTTAGCCAAATATCGAATAAATATTGGAAAATTAAAGTTGGTCAGACCCAGGATCAAAGACGAAACCAACAACAATTGATTAGATGTACATTTTGTGAACCATATAAAATTGTTCACATTTGGTATTCAGAATATGGGATGCAACACAGCAAACCGTACTCCTGTATTAATTTTTGTCTGTTTTGCTCAACATTGGACTTAGAAATACCAAGATATTTAGAAATTATTTATTTCAATTTCTATTATCATACATTTAAATTAAAAATTAAACAAAGTAAAGTTGCATATATATAAACACAGCCAATATAAGCAAATGAAATATTTGTTGTTAAAAAACATATTAAAGTCAGTTTGGCAGCAGGTTAAGGAGACCAGTCACCATGGTTTCATGACATTCAGATGATAATGTCACAAGTCTGTGAGACAGATGCTGGATGACGTCTCAACATAAACACATCCCCGGTACCGAGAACCAAAGTGACGAGTTCCCAGGTCCATGACATGACTCCTATTCCTGTCAGAGTTTGACGTCTGGAGCTGAGCCACACCAAGAATGGAGTCCCACAAATGACCTTTGACCCACAACTGCACACAACAGGTACAGGTTAGCAATCACAGTGTTATCAGTGGGTCAATGTCTGAAAATAAATACCTGAATGGAGATGTTGATGTCGGGGTATCGTCTGTAGAAAATGGCTCTAAGGTTGAACTCAGGGTTTCCCTCTGCTTTGAACACCTGCGTCCTGATGGTATCACTCTCACACCGAACTATGGCGTAAACATCTGGAGCTGCAAACACAGAGAAACACAGAATCAAGTTAGGGTATCAGAGGAGCATTCACCAAGGGCTTGTCAAGATAATGAATAATAATTATCTTATTATTATAATTTCTGGCACTGAGCTAATCTCAAATGAACCAGGACCATGCATCACTATCGGCATATGTGTGAAAGTACCAGTAAAACTAAGGCTTTTGTATTTGTTTATAGCCCTGACCTTCCTCTTTGGGAGGGTTAAGTCCTGAAGCCCGGCGAAGGTGGACACTGGTCACCACCTTAGGCCGCGGTAGAAAACACTGGAAAGCAGATGATGAAGGCAAATCCTCTTTCAATTCCCTGGATGGAGAAAATGTTGCTCAGGTTTCAAGGAGGGAAAAAAGGGGAAATACTCTCTAAATTAAACTAAAGAAAACAATCTACAGTTGATGTTTGCATCAGATAAAACTGTTTTCATTACAACCATAATGAGTTTAAGTATATATATTTTATATAAGTGAAAAAAAAAGCGGTTTCAGTGTTTCTTTGTCAAGTCATTTTAAGGTTTAAAAAATTCAGTGGTTATCACAGTCTGGGTTAGAATAAACACCAGGTTAAAATATAAAGCAAAAATCGTATCAATCATCAAACCCTTGGAGGTCACAAACCTGAGTCTGATGCGGGAATGGGAAAAGACCCGTAACAGGAAGTGTCCTGGGACGCCTGGCAGGAAGGTTGTGGGCAGAACAACGTAGCGTCCAGCAGCAAACGTTGCTCTTAATGTTACACTGCGAGAGTCCATGTAGACGGAGCTGGCCGCCTGCTCCACCACACACTGCACCCGACTGCAGCGGTTCACCTCCACCTGAAGGCATGGCAACATTAAAGGAGCATTTATTTAAAATGAAAAAAAAAATTTGTCCCACAATGGGTGAGTCTTTACAGCCCATATGGGCTGCTGCAGGAGGCACCATTAAGTATGTGGTTGAAACTCATTAGGTGCCACATGGGATGTGCTATTAAGCATGTGGTTCCTCTGGGGCTAGTACCCAGGACCTATTGCACGTAAGGCAGATTTGTAAGCACGTGTGATAACCGCTACACTATAGAACAACTTAGTCGTAGTCTTTGCCCATATGTTTATTTATTTACTGTTATCTCACCTTCAGCACCTCAAAGCCAATAGGAAGGTTTTCTCCTCCTCCATCTTTCCGCTTTATCCTCCTGTCTTCCTGCTGCAGACAGATTAGCACCTCCTCATCTTTGGCTCTGATCTCAAACATGAACTAACAAGAAAAAGGAGGGTGAACCATCAGCCTTCCTGCAGTACCTTAGGCGTTTTATACGTTGACAAGCTCAAACAAACAATTTACTTTTACATATTGAATTAAAATGGACCTAATATGTTCAAAATGTTGATAACAAGCAGCAGTGTAGCATTTTAAAATGTTTGGTAGAATATAGCAAAACATTTGCTTAAAGTTTGTTCTAAATAATTTGCTAAGAGTTGTCCAAATTGTAAGTCATGTAAATACAAAGGCAAACAATGTTTAAAACATCCATAAAACGGACATGAACTTAAAGGTCAACAAAATGCAGCCAAAAAGACGGACAAAACATGAACTTGAAAAAGTTTAAAGGTCAACAAAATGCAGCCAAAAAGACGAGCTAAAAGGTAGCCATGCCCGTGAAAAGAAATTGCAAGAAGTTTAAGATCAATAGCTATAAGTTAGTCACAATGCTAACCAGGGTTAGCACATAAGTAGCTGAGTGTTAGCTAAATTACCTGTGGATTGTGCAGAAATGTCTCTCTGTGGTTGATGCAGCCTCCACACCGACTCCTTTTATCCACCTGAGCCTCCCATATCCCACCTTCATTATCTTCAAGGCCTTTTTTCACCTCTTTACCCCGCTCACACTTTCCCCTGTTTTGCTGATGACTCTCGCCCAGTCTGGCTTCCCTTCTCCTCCCCCTCTGCTCCATTCCTTCAGGCCGGATGTTGGGTTTACCCAGCGTCAGTGCATAGTTGTTGTGAAGGACAATGGAGGATGGGGATGAACCAGGGGAGGTGGGAGCTGGAGTCCACTCTCCGTAGCAACGCTCTTCTCTCCAGTGGGATTTAGGCCACAGCAGAGCTCTCTCCACCAGGCGACACACCACCACGTCTGTGAAGTAGCCACAGAAATCCTTGATGTCCATCCTGAACAAGATGGAAGAAACAGGAAGAAGCTGAAACACTGAATTTTGTTAGAACAAGTAAAAATAAAGTTATTAATTAAAGGGCAACAAACCAGAACTCTCCAACATCTCTCACTGTGAGACCCAACTTCTCTCTCTCTGCTCGACTCATCTGTTGCCACTCCTCTGACCTGCAGGGTGTGCACAAGACCAAATCACACTCAAAGGCAATAACAAAAAGGAAACTGTGTTTGAACTTCTAAGAAGTTTTCAAAGAATTATAATGACTGGTGCAGATGTAACAGTCAGAGGTTGAGGTAAAGTAAAATCTCTAATGTCAGCTGATTCATTCTGCAGCCTGAAATGTAATGGATATGGGTCAGTAATGGGATTTCAAGCATCTTTACCTCTGACTCCAGGCACCAGTCCAGTCTGAGGTTCCCCACGGGTTCCTCATACGCACCATAAAGATCCTGGACATTCCTCCTGACTTGGAGAACTTGTCCCCCAGCCTCAGTTTCCTCACAGCTGTAATGCCATAAGCATGTCCTCGCACTAGGCCACAGTCCAGCACTGATTCAACAGCTTCCCCCTCTGTTGGCTGACAGAGGTAATACACAAACGCACCTGTAACAAGACTGTAGCTTCAGGGTTGTTGTATTCTTCCAAGACAAGAGTTCTAACCCGTATAGAGCAGGTGATGAGGGCTTTGCCATCGTGAGCTTTGGCTAACGTCTGAAAGAATGCTCTCCTGTGGTCACTGTGAAGGCTGAGAGCCTCACGATCCAGGCTGAGGGACTCTGACACTCCACCCGTGAAGTCAATCAAGGCTTCCGCCGTGTTTCCTCCCTCCAGGGCCTCGTAGCACCCGTTCAGTCTAGAGCGTAGAGAAGGGTGATCCTCAAACTGAATCACTGAGTCTTAGCATAGTGTCTTACCTTAGTCCACACACATGTTCAATGTTGAGTGTATGGGTTTTTATTTTTATATCAAGTGTAACAGGTTCATAGAACATTTTTGCAATTTCATGCTAATGTTAGCTATTTTGTAGCTATTATTGATCTACTGTCAGGCTAATTTCTAAATGTCTCAGTAAGTTGGAAAAAAAATCTTCTGGGCTGATTAAATATCTTTTTCAGCTAAATATAGGGCTGTTCTGTTGGTAATTTGGGTACTTATTAGCATTTTAGCAAACTTTTATTATTTTGAATTGTTTAATGTTATCAGTTTTCATGCTATATTTCAGTTATCGTCCAGTTAAGCCTAAAGGGTTAGCTTAGCCAGTTAGCATCAGTTATCAGTTCACTTATATTTAACTTATCTTTTTCTCTCTTTTTTTTTTTTTTTTTTGCTTTTTGGTGTACTTTTGAGATACTATTGGTCTTATTTTTTATAAATTATTATAATTATATTATAATATAGTTTCACAGTATATTGCTGGCTTATTTATAAATGTCTGGATAACAGTGGAGAATTAGCAAATGTAGCTGAGGTCTGAGATTTAATTTCTTAAGCTGTTTTGGTTTAGAGACCAGCATGAACAAGCATGTTCCACTCACTTGGCGTAGGCCTTCTCCAACAGGGCACTCCAGAACTCTCGAGGAGTAGCTGAGCGACAGAACAGCAGTACACCGTCCTCATTAACCGGCAGACGGTCGTCCACAACAACGTCCACCCAACGACCAAATCTCCAAAATCTAAAATGAAAGATTCCAGCGTATTGGTCGATTCGTTTGGGGTTCCACTCCTGTTCCACATGGTCAGGAATGACCTGAGTGAAGAAGTCGAATAAGAGCAATGAAAAAAGAGCCAAAGATCAATCAAAACATTCAATAAGGTGAAGCGGATGTGAAGGAAAGTTCAACCTTCTTCCACAGAGATGGCTCAGATGCAAGGCAGGAAATAGCAGCCATCATCCAGCAGTTACCCAGACTGCCCTGGTAAAGGTCGCGGGTGCTGATGCCGTCAACAAACAGACGAGGGTCTTTACATATTTCCTTGATCAGTGAGAGAAGAAGTGACTATAATGTATTCATTTTTTTTAAGTCTTTGACCACAGACTGAAAAGGCTATTAAAGAACATTTATGATGGGTTATCAATTAGTGGTAACGTGGTGGCGGTAGTGGGGCTGTAACATGGTGTTTATATGTGGGTGTTTAATGCATCCACGTGTCATGAGCTGTGATACGTGAGTGAGCAGCAGTGAGAAGAGTCACAGTGTTTTATGAGCTGGTCCAGTGTCACTGCACTGCTGAGGAGACAGATCCAGTCTGAGTGGAGCTGTTGATCTCAGTCGGGACAGGGTCGGGTGACACACACACTGGGAAGGCTACACACTCTGTGGTCATAACCTCTTGTATGTAACTCTAATCCTTCTCTCAGTGGATATGGAGTTCATAAAAAAGCACACAAGTGCAAATGGGAGGTCGCCCAGATTGAGACATGACCAGCGAGGACAGCAAAAAGGGAGATGGAGTGGATTTTATGTTGCGTATGTGTGTGTGTCAACTAAAAGAGGCCACAGACGTCACAGAATCATCCAGTTCAGTGTTGCTAAGGGCTGATGAAAACCAGAGAGGAGCCACAGAATCATGACACCATTAACTCTCACTCTGCTCCAGGCTGAATCAGCATTTCTGAAGTCTCTGCCTTAACCCCAGTCCCATTCCACTGACCACTGACCACTGACCACTGACCACTGACCACTGACCACAGAAATATATAATCTATATTTTTGAACGGGTATGTCCGTGGGCATACTGCATTTTTAAAATTTCCATACATGCGTAAAATCCAATAAATGAAAACACACCTTAAATACACAGTCTATATACTGTATATGTATATATATTATTTGATTAGTTTTCAGCTGAATGCAAAATATTACTGTTGACGTCAGTTTGATATAAAACATAGTTTTACCAAATATAATGGTAGTTTATACTCCACGTCTGCAACAGAGTTTGATCATTTTATTAGGTATATTTTAATTGAGTCTTTTGCCATTACATTTGCTTAACTATGTTTGGAGTAGATGTAGTAGTATTCTGGAGACTTTGCTTCACAGATACTGAACTGTGTGGATCTGATAGCATCAGGCTCTGGTGGTTCTTTTTTTTCTTTTGTATATCTATGATGTGCAGTACTTCTTGATTCAGCACTTGCTAACAGAAGTTCTGGTAAATACTGTGAATTTATAGTCATGTACAAGATGATATAAGATTTTTGAAAAAAATAAAAATGTGTCTATAAAGCCCCGGTCATCAGTCTCTACTCTGACAGGCAGTGGGTGGACTGTAAATAACACGACCTTGGGTGTTCTTGTATTTATCTCACCATTAAAGGCCACACAGATAGATGTGGCTACAATATGTGCTAAAAACATCTGGGCTATTTAAACTACTGCTTCTCTGCTGCTCTTCCTAAACTCACGACTGCATATAAATACACACACACACACACACACATACAATACACATGTCCATCAGCGTGGGTCCTCCTCCTCCCCCCACTGTTGCACTGCTGACTTGTCCTGGAGGAGCTTAAATTAACCTAATTGAATGGAAATGTAACAAACTGAGAAGGAGACTGAATTTAGATGTGTTTAAAATAAACCCTGTTGTACTAGATTAGAGCGGAGTGATGCAGGACAGTGTCCAGACAATTTAGTTTGCTTTATATAATGTTGTCATGTTTGGGTCAATACCTTTTTGAACTAAATGTCAGCTAACTTCAACTGTTACTGTGGTTACCTACAGTTTTCTGGGTGTTCGACAGCATTTCCCCTATTTTGTATCTATTCCTCATGATTTTCTTTTAGTTTAGCTACTGTATATTTATTTAGATTTTATATATTACAGGGCTAACTTTTATTTTTTACCTTGCAAAAAAGCTGGTCCTGGATAACTTTTTAAAATTATTTGTATTATTTATTATTTTCTCCTCCATTTTGTAGCTAACTGTTACCTATCCATTCTTTAGGTAATATCAGCTGTATATTAACATTGACTTTAACTCTTTTATTTTTTTGCTTTGTCCAAGCTACATCTTAGCTTTCAATTGTAAACCAACTTGATAAATAAATAAATAAATAAAACGACATTTGTCAACAGCTTTGCGCTTCAGCATGTTAGTGTTTTTAGATACCACAGAAGCTTTCTTGATCTATTTTATTGTACTAACCTGCTGCAGAAATTAAAGTTGTTTTCAGGCAGTTTTAGACATTTTCCTGTCTGGTCCTAGTACTCTGTCCTCCCCTGTTACACACACTCACCCTGGGTCTCTTCCAGGCCAGCCCAGACGGCAGCTCCCTTTTGTAAAACAGCGACTGGGCCGTGGTGGGGAAGAGGGGGTCTTTAAAGAGAGCCCCTCGTCGCCGACAAGCTCGCCTCAGCTTGTGAAAGCTCTGACCCTGGAACTGAGTCATTCTCTCAGGCATTTTAGTCAAAGCTGAAAAAGCCTGGGAAAGGAAGGGAAATACAAGAAGAAGTTATTATGATTTATTATGAGAAATGTGATTTGTCCTTCCAGTCTGTTCTTCATAAATCTCACAGGCTGTCCGACCTCTGGGAAAGTGTTTGAGCAAAAATGAAAACTAAGGAAGGCTTTTAAAAATATTTTTGAATTTTTTTTAGTGCATTCTTCCATCAAATTTGTGATATTTACAGCTTTTTCTCTGCTCTCTGTAGTTTTCCTGCAGCTAATTTAATACATTCTTTCTGGATGTCAGGTTTTCAAACAATACAGAGAGAGAATTTATATTTTTCCCAGATTTCAGAGAAAACCTAATTTCCACCACAGTGTGTGTTTGTGTGTGTTATGGAGAAGGGTTAGTCTGAGGACTGCAGTAAGTAAGTCATCAGTGATATGAACTACTACTAAAGGGAAATGTTATGTATAGTCTTTATCATGTCTACATATTCTTTTAAAAAGCCATTAATCTGGTTAAACAGCTGCACAGGGAAGCCAAAACACTTTACCTTTGAGTCGGATTACAGCTTTATCCTCTTGCTTTTCGACTATTCCCTGAACTCCGGCAGTAGATCCAAATTCATGTCCTCCTTGGATCACGTAGGAAATCCTTCAGGGAATCCTCATTTCTTTTTAAAGACATCCACACAGCCTGTGTTGTGATAAATAGGCAGCACGTGTTCCTTCACTTCTTCTGGCTCAGAGTCAGCTGTTAGAAGCTGAAGTTGGCCGAGTGAGTCTGCAGCAATGTTTCCTTTTTTTCCGTCTTCCTTCCTTGGATTCCGTTGGGAATGTTGGAATCATCTCCGGCAGGTGTTCATGTAAAGACTCAGTCCAAAGAACCTGGAGAGAAACAGAAAGGTTGAAGGAAATTATTTATTTTAATTCAGCCAGTTCTGTGATGCTGCAGGACAAAGTCACGGTGTGATGTGAGCCCTGGGAAGTTCCCCAACAACCGTGTGTGTGTGTGTGTGTGTGCGTGTGTGTGTGTGTGTGTGTGTGTGTGTGCACAGAACCCTTACATAAACAGGTGGAGGATAAGATGGCCGCAGTAACTGTATCCACTTATACACAGACAAAAGATAGACAGTCACCAAGACAAAGACAGGTCACATAACACACACACACAGACACACACAAACACACACACACACAAACACAAACACACACACTGCAGTAGCAGTGGAAACCCTGTAACTGACACTATATCCTCTGACACCTGTGAGCTAAGAGCTCTACTGCAACATCAACTAATGTGTTTCCCAGGTGTGTGTGTTCGCGCGCATGTGTTAAAAAGCTAACTTTGTTAACATAAAAACAAAATTGTTGTATCATTTAAAATATTTCTATTCCCCAAGAATTGTATTTATTCTTGAATAGTTGGCTGTCGTTCTATTTTAGCTAAGGTTTGGTGACTTTAATTACTACTAAATTAGTTAAGAACATATCTCCACTATTCATGTTCAATTTCTGTTTTGTTTAACCTAGATTTTGCATTTTTTAGCTGAAAAACTAAACTTGAAGTTGATTATTTTTGTCTTTTAGTTAATTGTTGAATTTATGAAATATCGTATTTAATTTTTGAATACATTTGAATTTGCTATCACTACTGTATATGGTGTTTGTTTTTTTGTTATTTTTAAATCATTTTTGTATCTGTGTATTTGTGTGTGTGTGTGTGTGTACTTAACTGCAGTCCTCCCGTTGGTTAATAAGACCACTCTCCTCCTCTTATATCAACACAAATCTCCTCTCATTTGTACATGGCTACCTCCTGCCCTCTTCTCCTTCTCCGTCCTATCTCTGCACTCTCCTGTCCTCCTCTTTCTCCTCTCACTGAGGGACGGTCCGACAGTGTCTGTTTGTGGTCGCTGCTGACTCTGTCTCCTCTGTCACCTGAGAAACGAGGAGAAAGGTGACTCCTGTGTTAACCACTTCACTGCCATTGGCGTTGCTGTGTACACAAAGCAATGCACTAACATATATTATAGACAGGAGAAAGATAAATCTGAGTCATCAGACAAAATACAATTAAATGATGTGTGTTGAAACAATAACAGAAGTCATTTTTTTTAAAACCTGCAGTAGTAAAGCAAAGTGAATATTTGTTTTTGTTTTTACATTTACAGTTGTATAAAAATATACTGAATATTGGACGTAAAGTATTTTAAAATGTTCTAAAATGTTCTTTTTGACTAATGTTTGGGATGTTTAGTTTTTTGCTACAATTTTCAATGTTGATAAAATGATTTGGCTTCATATTGGGCTTTTGTTTTTTAAATTATTAACATCTTTTGACATATATATCTATGGTTAATAAAAAGCAATGTATAGCTAATTTTAGTATTTCCTGGCTAGTTTTATATAACTTTTTGCATGTTTTGCACTAACCGAAAAGGGACTTTTATTTAACCCAAATATTAAGCTCTTACTGCTGATACAGACTACTGTTTTAATTGGTGCTTGGATGTTTGGAAGGTGAAAACGTAAAAATCAGAAAAACCACAAAAACTTGGTCGAGTTCGACTTTTCTTCAATCGACATTTTTACCTGACATCCAAGAATCAGGCTGCGATTGCGCACGCGCAGCAGTGCGTCACTCTTAGGATGCATATGTGTCCTCTGTTGCGTATTTTTTCTTAAATCGCTGCTTTTGTTATGGTTTTTAAAGCAAACCGACGCAATGAATGTTAATAATCTGTTTCTGTGTTTAATTCTCGGTTTTGTCGCAGCGAGTGAAGACGAGAGACTGCCGAACAAATGCGAAGGTAGGAAGGAGTGAAATGTGTCAAGTTGTACTTTTTCACCGAGGAATTTAAAAAGTGAATGTTTCTTTATTGTTGATATTATGATTCTTATAAATATATATATCCGTCAGTGTGTAAGTTTCTGACAGTCGAGCTGCAGGATGCTCTGGAGAAGACCGGCCGCTCCAAAGAAGTTTTAGAAGTGGGAGAAGTCCTGGACACGGGAAAAAGGAAGAAGAAAATTAAATACAACACATCGTAAGTATTAGTGAAAAATAAAATAAAGACATTAAATATTGAAAGTAATTATGAGTCAGCAACGGAACTGACATTTGAGCATGGCACATATTTTACTAAGAACGTTTCAAATAATTTATTTTTTTATTTTTCAAAATAAAAGACCAGAGACGTTCAATAGGCAGTGGTCACTCGTCAGATTCTTTGCTTCACGCAGAAACATTTAAATTTAAATAGAGCATTTGAATAAACATTTAAGTACAAGATGGCTCTGAACTCCAGGCCGAAACGGAAAGTTCTAAAAACCTTATTTCTAACAAACTTCGATTTTATACTTTTTCATAGTCATGTCATACAGAAGCAGTTTTTTTTACATGTTTTTAAAACACAAAATTTCTCCTGACTCCACAGATTTTTCTTTAAAAATATCAATATTCTGTAATGATTCCAGGGAAACTCGTCTGACTGAGGCCATTGACAACATCTGTGAGCGCATCCTGCAGTACAGTGTTCACGCAGAGAGGCCTGGCAGCCTTCGATATGCCAAGGTAATGTTCTTTTGCTTTACAAGATCCGCTTTAAAAGTTATGCATTAAAGTAAGAGCTGCGTATTTGTTTTGAATTTTACTAGGGCGCCAGTCAGACCATGACAACTCTGAAGAACCTGGTCCACAAAGGAGTCAAGGTGGACCTGGGTCTGCCCTTTGAACTCTGGGACGAGCCTTCAGCAGAAGTGTCGGACATGAAAAAGCAGGTAGACAGTTTTGATCCAAAAACTAACCCATGTAAGGCCTCGAGACGTTATGTGATGGTTTGTCTGTTTGGACAGTGTGAGACGATGCTGGAAGAGTACGAGGAGGTGGTGGAGGACTGGTACTTCCATCACCAGGACCAGAGGCTGGAGAACTTTCTTTGTGAGCACCACATACTTAAAGCATCGGAACAAGGTAGTAGAAAAAAAAAATGCTATCAAATAAAATAGTGGTGACTGGTCGGTACTTCTACAGTACTTTTCTAGCCCTTAGAACATCTACAACAAAGCACTTTCATTGACTAGTTGAATAAGCCAAGTCACAACACATTGAAACACGTTTTGAGATTAAAATAACAGGAAAGTCTGCAGAAATATTTAACATGTCATGACATCACATATATGTTATAAAAAAGGGTGTAAGAACTTAACGACATGTTTGAATTGAAAATTAAGTTATTGTTGTTTTAAATTATTTCATAAAGTCGTGGTCACTTATTCCAACTTAAATCATCATCCTAAACTACAAGGTTGTGATTAAAATAAAAATCAAAAAATAAACAAAGAAGCAATTGTAAACATCTTGAATTTAACCTTGTTAAAATCTAAAACACGTCCGCCCTGTGTACCTGTGGTTACAAAGATTAAAAACAACTTTTAATCATCTGCTTTTCCAGTGAAAGACTCTCTCTTCTGTAGAGACCAAACCTCTTACTCAGTAGTATTTTCCTCTCTCTCTCTCTCTCTCTCTCTCTCTCTCTCTCTCAGAATGTCTAAAGGAGGTGTGGAAGGGAGACATGGGAAACAAGGGAGGAGCTGAGGAGGCGTCGAACAAGAGTGTGGAAGAGAAAGAAGAAGGCACAAAAACTCATGACGGATCAGAGCTTTGAAGAAATGAGAGAAAAAAAACAACTTCACATTTTATCTGTAAAACAAATACAAAGAGAAAATGTGACTTGATTTATTGATATTTTCAGTTTTATTAGTTTTTTTTAGGTTTTTTTAAGTTTGGAATTATGTGAACCTGAAGCCGTTACTGTTACCACATTTGAAAACAGTTTACATTTGGAGTTACATCAGTGTATGAAGAAGCTTTATGTAATAAATGACGTTATTTTTTATAATCTGTTGCACCTTTAGAAAACTTAACTCTTGTAACACTAGGGTTTGAAATCCAACTGTTAAATCTTGTGAAAATACCAATACATTTCTTCATGCGTAAAGAGTCTTTGGTACACTTTCTCGTGCAGTTTTGAATGCAGTATGTACAGGTTTCTGAATGAATAAAGTTGTTTTGTTTTTTTAATAACTTTACTCATGTGTTAGAAGATGTCAAGCTAAATTTTTTTTTTAAGTACAGATTTATTCCAAACAAAAATGTTTTCCTGTATTTGCAAACATGTGTGACTGAACGGAACAAACAAACCGAACACTGAACGACAACAGCAGTGCATTGTGGTTAAATGTCAGAGGATAATTTTGTATTGGACGTTGACATTTGCTAAGGATTTCATCTCAGACTAATATAAACACGTTTGCTAAGAACAGCGCCATCAAGTGGCTAATTCCGTTACATCCACTCTTTTCACATCAACTTCACTAAAATGAACTGTTGATTAATTCATAATGAACTCACGGAGGTGGTTATAGACGTGTTTACAACATTTAGAAATGAAAAAAAACACAAAGTACTATTTATTTCAGTATAAAATATTTGGTCTGAAGTCGTGCTTGGGTGTTATTGATCGGTGGGTACATTTTGGAAAGCGTTAGCTCTGTGTCTCCTCAGGAGGTGGGGGAACTTCATCTGGGAATCACTGTTCCCCAAGTGTTCACAAGTTATACATTATTGATTAGGATCAATGGATTTGGAAATGATGATTAAATTATACAAAATTACATAAAACATTCTGTGAATTTCAAAAAACATCTGCAGGTAATTATGATAGTAGCGTCGTCCAACAAAAGCACAGCACACCATAAGATGGGTTCGTGTTTGAACGACTCACCAACGTCGTCATATTTGTTGTCTTCCCCAGACTTAATCAGTCGACAATGGCTACTGGAATCCTCGTGATTATTGATAATGATGACGATTATGACTAGAACAACGTAAACAACTTGGATGGCTGGCTAATACACACAAATCCACTCACTTCCTGTGTCTGTAATTGAAGAATCTGATGCAGCTGTTTTACTGGCTTAACACGAAACAGACCCATCTTTCTTTATGTACGACAGAAATCTGCTCCAGGTTTCAGGGCCACAAACAATCTGACTAACGCCGTGGGTCTGGTACAATTCCCCAAAAAATATATTTATGTTTGACAATACAACCAAATAAGCTATCTAAGCACAGTAGCAATTTTAACTACTGGCCACCAGAGGCCAGTGACACACAAGATAATATACATTCAACAGTATTTAGTGTTTTTTTATATATATATTTATTAAGACGTTTAGACGTGGATATCTCGACAGAACGTGCTTACGTCAAATTTTCCTTCACCTTTTGTTAAAAATGTGTACACGTCATTATTTTAGTGGCCAATACCCGCTGTGTTTCAACGGAAATGCTTCAGTCTACAAGGTATTACTTTCAACAGCTTTTGGGGACAAAATGATGATGATGATGATGATGATGATGATGATGATTATTATTATTATTATTATTATTATTATTATTATTAATAGTTTCTTAACATGTCTATTATTATTTACAAAAAACAAAAAAGGACATTTTATTGAATCTATAAATACACATTTTCGAGTTGTGTTTAAAAGTAAAAAGTACATTAAAAAATCTTAGAACTGTATCTTAGAACCATGAAAGAACTATTATCAGGAGGACTTAGAAAATGTTAACGATCGGTCTATAAAATCAGTCTGTAAATTGAAGACCAATCCCCAGACACAAAACTATTTTTACCACTTTTTCTTTTCTAAATAAAGTGTTCATTTATTTATTCCTTGTGTTTTTAACACTGTAATGTTTTTTTACCGTATCACATTTATTTATTTAAACTTTTAAACAGTGTTGACTTTTATTCTTGTGTTCTAGATATATTTAGATGCCTCAAAAAGCTTCAAAACTAAATCCTGCCAGCTTGAATTCTTTTAAAGAATTGTTTTGGAAAGTCTACTGCATGAAATATATTTCCTTTAGTTTGAATAATTTTGACCCTGACTGTAACTTTCGTTGGTCTGGTTTATCTGCACTCATAAACTTTCTCTCTTCTTTTTTGTTTATGGTCACGCTTTAAAAAGTTTAGGAAAGCACTGATTTATTGGACGGTGTAGAGACAGAGGTCGTACATGTGGAAACACATGGCTATTCTTGGCTCAAGTGTCCCACCTTTGCAGATGTCTTCACTTAAATGACATAAATTTGTTTGGACACATTTTTGTCCTTATTTAAGGCAGTTTTTTAGCGTCCTCTCAGCGTGTGATTCATCTGAGCGATTATCTTCTGCTGTTTCATGTGAGTGAAAACTCCGCTCTGGAATCTGCTGTGGTTTTTCTCCATTGTTTCAGTATAAATTCACTGTTTACTGGTGATTTTTATTCTAATGTGCTACAGGAGGATCGTCTGCTCCTCATCTCCATGCAGCACTTGTCAGCACTGGTGCCAAGAGGAACAGTGAGTGTAGCATAGAAAAACAAAAACACTGCATTTTTATTCACGAAGACCTGGAGTATTTTCCTTGCTTCTATTATGCTGTTGTTGGATTTTTTGTTTTGTTTTTCTTAGTTTATTTCGCCAAAAAGTTCAGTCAACAGCCTCATTGCATCAAAACCCTTCATGTGGTTACCGTCACTAAACGGCATTGTTTTGTTTTTTTGAGGCAAATTTTTGTTCAGTTTTTCCAGACGTGACCCTTCAGGTCAATGAAAGAAAGACAAATGTTTTCTTTTTCAATTCAAATCAAATCTCCGTGTCTTTCCACTGTAAACACAAAAATCAGAGGAAACGTGATCTCCATGAATATCTGATCAGTGCTGTTGCTCTGCTCCAGTGAACTCATTCTGTTTGGTTTTAGAAGGACCGTGTAAAATATAAAACATAAATCTAAAAAAAAAAAAAGTATTTTTGGCAGGTCACAATTAAAAAAAGAAAACATTAATACCATATAGTGAAAACTGTACCAAAGGTCACACAGTGAGTAGAATGACAAACTAAAACAACTTTTAACAGAATTCTTTCTGCTGTGAAGTAGGGTGTACACTGTAATGTGAATGAAAAACGACTAAATGTTAGCTTGAAAATTGCCAAGTATTAGCCCGAAAAGTAAAAAAAAATCAATAGAAGCATATGCAAAGGAAAGCCAAAAAAACAAATTAGCTAAAATTGTTACATTTAATAACAATGACAACATTGTTCTTAGTGTAAAACAAATTAGCAAAAATTGTTACATTTAGTAACAATGACAACATTGTTCTTAGTGTATTTTTGTATCTTAAAGTTCCCCCAAATAACTAAAATGTACCAAAATAGCTAATGTGCCAAATAATTAATAACTCAAAGAAGCTGAAAGCTCAACAACAACGTAGAAAGAACATGTGAGGTGAGTTGAAGTAGCTAAAAGCTAACACAAATGTATAGTGGAGGCTCATAGCCTAAAAAGAATATAGAAACAATGGCCAAGTGTATTCGATACAATGGCTAAAGGTTAGTGGAGAAATAGTTGAAGTAGAAAAGACATTTGCCAGGACAAATACATTCTAGAAATGATCTGTTTGTTTTTTTTCAAACTTATTTCACAGGAGCAAAGGCTGAGCCTTTATGTGAATGAAATATTTTTCTAACCAGACAAAAAGTTATAAATAAACTTATCAAAGCAGTTAAGGCCATGAACAGTCCGTCGAACTGCCAGAGTTGGGCCCATGGGCCAGATCTTGGACATACCTGCAACAACAAGTAGAAATGTAGAAATGATTTTTCTTTTTTAAGAAATCTAACGGTTATACATCGACATTAATTTTAGTTCTTATGGTGCTATAAATATTTCCATTTTTCAGATTCTAATGCCAGTATCTGATAAGCCCTGTGCCATATTGTAACACTTTAAAGGTGTAAGTACGGCTCATCCATCAAACCTACGCCTACGTGTTGTGAAATCTGCTCTTATTCCGTCACGGTGGCTTAATGTTGACTTTTATAATCACACCTCGCTGCTATTTTCTTCTGATTATGATGTGCGTCTGAGCACGTTCCTGGCTGCAGGGCCCTCAGACTTTGGCAGCGCCGCACACCTGTCAGGGACCACCTGTTGAGTTTCATTAAACCAACACATTCTTATCTCATCTCAGCTCTGGCTCTCTGTTATCGATTAGCATTCGCGAGCAGGAAAAAGCTCGTGTCTGTGTTTTCATACAATATGGAAGCGTAAACGTGCCATTTCTCCCCTCAATTTTCTTTATTGCGTTTGTGCAGCGTCCAAGGATAGCATTTCCTTAGTGCACACACACACACACACACAAATAGACACACACAGAGCACACCTGGGGAAACATTCCTCGAGGGAAGTCATCAATCAGTTTTATGGCTTTCTCTGGGAAAGTTCCCTCCTTTCCAATCAAGCATCTTCCCTCTCTCTCTCTCTCTCTCTCTCTCTCTGCTTCATATTTCCATCTGTATCAGTTCTGCCTCACATCTGAGAACAATCCAGCACGCCCAATTAACTTCAACCATTATTCCTATTCCAGAGAGGCGTAATTGGAGCAAACTGCAGGGTGAGATCTCAGCCTGGACGGACGCTCCAAGACGAGGCTACTGCAACTGGCTTCTCTCTCCCCTCGTCTTCACTTTGGCTGCCAGTGCCAATAAACCTGAGCTGGAAGAAAAGACACGGCACGGAGAGAGGCTCCGTAACAAGCCCTGAAATGTAGCGTTGAGATTTGAGGTTTTAACTCATAACAGAACGAGTGTGGAGTTAGTTGGTGACCCACGACACCCACCACAGGACAGTGGTGGACGTAAAAACACACTTCTTTTCCACAAACACCACAACAAGGTGACATTTAGCAGTATCTGGGATTTGTGTGTAACTTTTTTATGTGATTTGTTCCATTTTTGTTCAACACAAACACCCAAATGTAATTCCAGCTTCAGCCTTTTCTGAAAATGTTAGCTGATTCTGAGAACCTTTTGTTATTTTATGTCTGGTATTAATTTCCCTCTATCCAGTCCATGGGACAAGGATTAGCTACCTGTGAGCTAATGTTAGCATCTCTGGCTACCTTTTCAATACTCTTTCGGGTTAGCACCATATACTGTATGTTTCAGGCTTTTTGTGGTTTATGTCAAGTGTAATTCTATTTCCTGCCTCTTTTATTTATTTTGCTAACATTAAGACATATATAGTATGTGATTGGAAAAGCCTTGCTCTGGCTGCTTTAAGCCACTGTGGCTAACCTTAAGCTACAGCATGTCTGGCTGATCTTTGGTCATCTATGTATATGGTATACCAACATCTGACATTTATCAGTCATCACAGATCATGTTTAAGGTGGACAGTGTGGGTTATTACGTCTGAAGTGGATTAGACCAGAGCAGCGTGGGGGTCGCCCAGATGGGGGACGGATGACGAGGTGTCCCAGTGATCATCCATTGAAATAATTCATAAAACATGAACACAGACTTTGAACATTCTGACTTATGTGAATGAGGGACAACTTCTCAGCTGAGAAAACTGCACAAAGACACCTGGACAGTCCACCGGTGTCTTCGGTCATGTGACACAGTCTGGCAGAGGTGAGCCGTGCGTCAGGCAGGATATGACTGCAGATCCCTCAGCTTCTCTCATGAGAGGAGACACCTCCCAGCTGGTCCTCTTACTTCACCTCCTCCTCTTCCACGTCTTCCTCCTCCTCCTCCTCCTTCTCCTACAGTCTTCCCCTGCGTGTTGCCCCCTCTCGGTAGGTTTGGAGACGCTTGATCTCCGGACACTTGCCGCGCTTCTCTCCATGACCAGGAGGCTCCAGAGGAAGCAGGAGGAGCAGAGGAGTCACTGGGACGCACATGGTGAGGATTTTGACACGAACGTTATTCTTGATTTTTCAAAATAAAACATTAACTGGAGTTAGAAGTTGCCCGGACTAATGCGGAGGTGGAACGGTTTCCTCTTTACGCGCCGTGCGTAAAGAGACGCAGCGATTGGACGACAAACTTACGGTCTTCTCTTGTTTTTCTTGTCGAAGGCAGGAAAAAGGAGGATAATTTATTGAAAATATAACTTGCAGTCGTTGCCCAACTTTGTCAAGTGGTGACGACATTGGGAAGTGAGGTCAGTTTGATGGAATAAATGAAAAAAAAAAAAAAAAAAACCGAGAAACGAGGCTGAAGTGTTGACGTCAGTATCATTTTAAATATAAAGATACATTTGTTAAGGTTGATTGCGTTAAGGCGTGTACTACGGTAATTATACAAATAACATACATGTGTAACTGCTGTTTGTTTAGTACGATAAAGGATTTGTACCACTTAAATATTATTAAAGCTTTTCTTCAAAACAAATAAATAAAATTACATTTAAAGTGGCATTTTCTCTTTTATCTAAAATAATTCAATAAAATCAATACTAGAATCAAAGTAGGAATATCGTATTTTTCTTTTTACGATTAATTCACTACATACTTCGTAATTAAGGGAGATTAATATGAACAGGACTTTCTGTCGGATTTTAAATGGCCTGAGGTTAAACATCATGATAATGTTTGTTGTTCATATGGAACTCGTCAGATTTTGGACTTTTTTGGAAATTAATATTATTCCTTAGGAATGAATTAGAATTCAGAAATCAAAATAACAAAGTGGGGGTGTCTTTTTCCTTTCCTTTAACTCCTAAATTAAAGTCATTTTGTCTATGAGGAGTGAGAAAAAGAAGTTATTTAGTTAGTAACTTTAAAAAACACTAAGCCCCCAAAAATCATTTGATTTAAAATTTGCAACTGAGAAAAAAAAGTCAGAACTCACTTTCTTTTCAGAATCTTGAGATTACTGTGGAATTTTAATATTTAAAAAATGTCTGATGGAAGACCTTTGAAAATAAATGAAAAAATCAATTTTGAACCTACAGTAAGTGCAGCAACTGAAGACATACATACATACATTTAATAAATTATTATATTTATTTATTTATTCTTTTTACTTTTTTGTTTTCTCGTGGGTCCTTTTATCATCACAATTGGGATTTTTTAGAAAGACATTTTAAAATGTTGGATTTTAAATGGATATTTTTAAACTTTTAATATAAATTATATATATGTATAAAAGATTGTAATACTTCAAAAAGAACGGAGAACAGGAAAGAAAACCATGTGACTGTAATTGATAAACCCTTAGATTAAGGTGTTTTTCTAACCAACAACTCAACCTCTACTGTTATCTTTACTTCAAGCCATATTGTTTATAAATCTCTACATAAAGTACTCTAACCTACAGATACCACATGTAGTAATTACACTTGGTGTTATTATTACAAATTATGAATCAGAGATTACAAGAAGCCTGTCAGTCAGACGGGGAAAATGACAAATGTTCAGTAAAAACCTCATTTATCAGCAGAACACAGCAACAACATCAGGCTCATTGATTCAGATTAGCCTGATTTATTTCCCACTCCACACGAAAACACATGTGAGTGATTACGATGCTGAAGTCAGCTCATAATTACACTCATGCTGTTTGATCCCACCGTGTGATAGATAGGAAAGCTCCCACTGTAAATATTATTCTTTCTCTCTCTCTGTAGCCCCGGGCTGGGGGTAATTCACTGCAGCCCAAAGAGGGCAATTAGCCGAGCAGAGTGGCTGAAAATGGGGCTTCGCTCTGAGATGCTGCCAAAGTCATCAGTTCAAAAAAAAAAAAGAGTCAACCTTTAAATGTAAAAAAAAAAGAAAGAAAGAAAAAATGCAAAACGGCCCGTGATGGTAGAGAGTGGAGAAATCTGTCACTTCACTTTTCAACTTTTTACCTTTTATTTGAGTTGTTTGGTTTTAGGGCATGACAAAAAGTCTCCTGTCAAAAGTCTTTTGAGAAGTCTTACGTTACAAGTATCTTCAGTCCTTAACAGTACAGTAAAAAAGTATTTTGACAAAAAACATTTTTCAATGACTTTGTCAAAAGTCTCCATAGAAAGTCTTATGTGGAGTGTATAATGTAAATGGTCTCAAGTCAAAAGTCAAAAGTTTCCGATGCAAAAGTCTTGTGTTAAAAGACGAGGTTTAAAATTGTTTTGAAAAGTCTGATGCCGTTAGCTTTGTGTGGCTTATGTCAAAAGTCTCCTGTGTCACGCACACTCCTGTGGTAGGTCTTGTGTGAACAGTCAAGTCTCAGAAGTTTGGTGTCAAAAGTCCCTCATTAAATGTCTAATGCCAAACATTTTATGTTTAGTCTTTAAATTTTATATCTCTGTTTCCTTTCCCTGAATGTCAACGTTGATGTTATTTTGGCTAACTGGCTTAGTTGTTTTGTTGTGTTTAGTTGTATACCGTGTACATAATTTTCTAATATTTAGCTGTAGTATATTATTGGTAGAAATGTTGACCATATGAGTCTATTTTTTAGCAAACTTTAAACTATATTGGTTTTATGCACCTCTCAGTTATCACTTAGCAGTGAACAGGTATAAAGGTCTTTTAGCCAAAGGTTCTGGCTTGTTCTTGTCCACCTGTTTTCACTGTATTCTGCTTTTAATGTTGCTAACCGTTAGCTAGTTTTTGCTGAATTGTTTCCATTATTAGGCATACTGTGGTTTAACAACAGTCACATCAGTTTGTGTTTTCTGTAGCACTGGCTTTAGGAGCCTGGTGAGCGCCCCCTAGAGTTTGCTGCAGTGAGCTTTTGCAGTTGAGTATATTTGAAGACAAGTTTTATAGTGTTTTTTAACAAAGAAATATACAATCTATAAGGTGAAGTGTTTTTGAGAAGTCTGTTAAAACTGTGCAGCTTGGAGTGGATCTACCACCAGTGGACCTAAAACCATGTGTTGTGCAGTAAATACATGTGTTGAAATGCAGCGGGTTTGTCTGAACGGCTCAGTGTCAACGCAGCTGAAGTTTATTAATGAAAGACAAAGCACTGAATGTCATTAGAACAGACTCTGTCGCTTGGTGTTTTGTTCTAATTTTACTCGTATTAGTCATAACTAACAGATGACAACTTCTTTAATTGTTACCGGAGAAGTTTCGGGGGGTGGCAGAGGGGTATTTAGTGACACAGGCTTGTGTGTGAATTTAATTACAGCCTCACTCACAATCTCCAGGCCTGATTTTTATTTCCATCCTGCCTGAGGTTCGTCCTTTTGGCTTCACTGCAACATCGGCCCTGCATCACAATGATTTCATTTCCATCTGTTTCTCAATATCACCACGCTGCTGCTGCTGCTGCTGCTGGTGCTGCTGCTGTTGTTGTTGCTTCTTTCTCCGTTTGCGCTGCCACCGAC